AGAGAGAGAGAGAGAGAGAGAGACAGAGAGACAGAGAGACAGAGAGACAGAGAGAGACAGAGAGAGACAGAGAGAGAGAGAAAAGGATGTGTGAGTGAGTGTGTGAATGTCGACTGAGTAAATTACTGTGAATATTAGTTGTTTGCGTTGGTTTTAGTATAAAATGGGGCGGGGGTAGTTTGTTGCTAACTTCTGTTTTGTACTTGGTTGGTTGGGGGCGGGCTGTTGGGCCTAAAAATAGATTCCATTAAAGGGCATACAGGAGGATCCTATTTGTTGATTTTTCATCAGCCTTTTATACTATCCAGCCACCTATCCTTTTAAAGAAATTAGAAAACATAGCAGTTAACATCAATTTAATATCATGGATAGGCAATTTTCTTACCAACCGAACCCAATATGTAAAATTAAAACATTCCTCATCGACATACATCACAAAAAACACAGGAGCCCCTCAAGGATGTGTTTTGTCACCAGTATTATTCACACTATACGCGAACGATTGCCAAATAAACAACAGTAACATCAAGTTGATAAAATGTGCAGATGATCCAACTATAATAGGGCTAATTCAGGCTGACCAAAACGAATCCGCTTACCGGAATTTTTTACTTAACTTTTCTGAAAGGTGTGAAAATCAAAAGCTGCTTTTAAAAGTGAAAAAAAGAACTTGTTGACTTGTTGTTGATTTTAGAAAAAAGAAACTGCCCGTGCAGCCACTCGAAATTAAATGTGAAAACATCGAGCAAATGTCAGTCTATAAGTATTTGGGTGTTACAATCGACAACAAACTCAACTGGTGTGTCCACATTTCTCTCCAGCATAAAAAAGTGAACAAAAGACTATTTTTCTGAGGAAGCTCATGTATTGAAAAGTTGATAAAACATTGATGTCCATATTCAATCATTCAAACATAGAAAGTATGACCAATTTTTGTGTAACAGCATGGGCCAGGAACACAAGATAACAAGATAAAGTAAATCGACTAATACGGAAAGCATGTTAACTTTCAAAATCTACATTCCCCTACTTGGATGAATTGTACATAACAGCTTGCAAGAAAAAAATTAATTCCATCTTTTTAGACAACAAACATCCCTTGTTCCCTCAAATTAAAAAAAATCAGTCAGAAGTAAAAGACCTAGGCTTCTGATCTGTAACCAAAAAAAAAAGATACAGAAGGTCATTTCTACCACCATCCATCAAAATTTTTCCATCTTAACCATCTTGTATAAGTATTCATATGACGCTGAGCATGCATCAGAATAACATTGAGTATGTATCTAGCTTACGATTATTACTGTTTATATTGCTGCTCATTTAAATTATCCATGTGATTGTAATCCTGCATGTGTGTGCATGTGTGTGTGTGTCTGTGGGTGTGTGAGTGTGTGTGTGTGTGAGAGAGAGAGAGAGAGAGAGAGAGAGAGAGAGAGAGAGAATGAGAGAGAGGGAGAGAGAGAGAGAGGGGGGGAAGAGAGAGAGAGAAAGTTAAACGTGACTGGACGACAATCGACAGACGATCCAATTTATAAAGTTCCACACTGTCCTATTTCAAGGAAGAATAAAAGCTATGTTACTCAAGAGTCACACTTGCTTTTCACGAGAGACTGGCATTGTTTTTGTTTTGGTTGTTTTTTCTTCTTTTTGTTTTTTAAATAGTCTGTTGGTGTTCGGCACACCAGTAAATTGAAGAATAGAGCTATGCCCATTCAACTCTACTATTCGATACCCACGATTTTTCCGCTGATCACAGCTATTCGAATCATGACAGAGCCTCTCAAATACTGTATGATTTTTCGGTTCCCAGACTTCCATCTCATTTGTTCTCAATGCGTTGTAAATTAGACCACAATGATCGAAGAAGAATCCACTACTATTCAATATTCGCTGGTCAAGCCATGAAAAACTCAATGGCCTATGACACTCGACTAACCCATTTACAAAAAATTAACAGTGTTGTAGGCAGACTAGAAAAGCTCCCCTTTCCTTGTTCGAAATTCGAAGCATTCGGAATGATGAGGTGACGTCATCGTATCGTACTGCCAGCATGCCATCGCATGCTCACTGAATAGCGCAGTGAAAAGTAAATATTGACTAGCGAATGTTCCTTTAAACGTATATGCAAAACAAACGAACAAACAAAAAAATCCCTAATCGCAAACGATGTTCGAATTGCACGAATGGTAACTTCACGTTTCGAAGCACCGAAAAAGTTTGGTTAAATTAAAATTGCACCGCATAACTGCTGAGTCCTCGGTTACAGAAGTCACTGACCTCTCGTGGAGATACAGAATACAATTACAGTTGTGAGGGCTCCTGTATTGAGCAACGCGGGTTTGTTGGGGAGGAGCAGAAGAACATA